CGTGATAAGTACTAAACCTGTCTCATTCTTCCACTGCAACCAGGAAATGTGGTGCCCAAATTGTTCCTCAAAGGGCCATGTTGCTGCAGGTGTTTGTTCCAACCAAGCAGTAGCACACCTGAGTTGACAGGTTTAATCAACTGGTCTCAGTCTTCAGACAGCTGAATGGCCAAACTATGTGCTCTTGATTGGTTGGAACAAAAACCTGCAGCCACACGGCCCTTTGAGGAACAGTTTGGGCATGCCTGGTCTAAGCGAAAACCATTGTGCATAAATCTAACTACACTACCTACAATTTGACTGTTACTAACCCACCCTCCCTTTACCATGTTGCCCTAGCGAGATGTGAACACTTGTGATTTACCAGGAATTAACCAGGTCCTCCCTTCAAAGAAAATTCAGAACTATCCAAAAGGGTCCTGACAAAAAAAAAAATCCAAAACAAGTGCACACACACACACACACACAACTATTATCTAATATCCCTTTCCTCACCTCCCGCTGAATGCCACCCAACCTGCACCCCCACCCTGCCTCACCTCTGCTCCCCTGCTCCTGCTCTCTCCTTCCCCCGTCCTTTCCTGGATCCAGCTTGGCAGTTTGTGATGAATGGGCCAACATTACTCCTGTCCTCTGTTGGCCTGGTTTAGCAGCGCCAACCTATCTCCCTCATATGTCTGTCAGTGAGTCTATCGTTTTGTCTGTGCCAGTGTGTGTGTGTGTTGTGGCCGACTTTAAAAACTATGCTTCAACCCAACTTGGATTTATGATGAATTATTTTGGCCGCACTCCAAAACAAGTATTAATGTACTTTAAATGAGGCGCCATATGTACATAATTATGTCAGGGGAAAAAAAGTGCATTCAGAGATACAAAGGCCTCTTTAGTTTTAAACCTCCTGTAAACCTTATACATATATCTTTTTAATAAGTAAATCATCTTTTGGTTAAACCTTATCTGATTTAACATCTCTGCAAAAACTGTATCCTTACTAACATATTCATGTTCACAGAGACTGGGAATAAAATTTGTTGTAACAGCCACTGTTTTAAACTGTTTGGGAGAAATAGAATGTCAGAGCGAGAGTGCATCGCCAGGAAGTGTAGGGATCAAGTCTTCAAAAAGTAAATAAAATATGCATCCTCTCTGTGCTCATTACACATTTATGAGTCTTGTTAAAAGAAAAAGGTGGCGGCTGCTTCGCTGAACTGTCTGACTTTTAGAATTCAGACGACACTGCTGTCAAGTGTTGTGCCCCATATTCGGTCCAATCCATATTCGGTCCAATAGGAGACCAGGAGGTTTCAAGCGTGTGCCAACTTCCAAGTAAGATTCAGTGGGAGTCTCAAAGAGAGTTCCTTAAGGTGGATGAGAGCACACAGGAACTCCTTACCTATGACACAACGAGTTCTCGCCGCCGCCTTTTGATGCATTGTTCATCAGTCGCAAAGTTCAGTTGCTTCAGTCACACATGTGTTTATGTGGTTTAGAACAGTAAATGTTGAGGGAATAGACATTTGTGCATTATGCATAATGAGCACTGAGATTTGCTTTTTTTTCAATTCCAGGAAGTGAAAGAACAAGTGCTTACTCGCTATCTCATCCCACCACCCACCACCCACCTGGGTGGTAGTACAAACAGGTTCATCCACCTTCATGTACATCTGGGGCTGTAAAAGCTCTTATAAAAGAACTTATTAAGATACTTATTAACAGTGACACAAAGGTTAATATCCTCAAACTAAAAGTTTTTGGCAAAATAAAATTACAACACATGACCATGGGATTGTTTCTCCTTATGGACAATGCCATCACATTATTAAAATATTCAAAGCAAAAAGCAAATACTTTCCATGTTCAGCATTAGTCCCACAAGCAAAACTACATGACACACTATCACCATAGCATAACTTTAGTTGCAGTGTAACACACTAAGAAGCTTCAGAAAACTGGAGCAGAAAGACACACACATTCGGCCCTTCATTAGTTGAGCCCAGTCAGGTTTACCTTTAAATCTACACAGAGGAGCCCAAGGTGGGGATGAGGGTGGCCCAACGCGCAGTGTGTACGGTAGGTATTAACTAAGACGAGGACGGGAAACAGACACTGTACACAAACCCCGACAGGACAGCAGACAAAGGCACCTAGACAGACGATGGGCTAATAGGAGACCGAAAGACGATGACACACATTATTAGTGCCAGAGCCACACACACATGCCCACTTACCACCATGGTTCGTATCCACTCAAAGTGCCATGAAGCCAACATATCCTCGAGGATATGGTTTTTATCACAGGTGTCCTCCCAGGGGCCTGGTTTAGGGTCCTTGTGGATAGATTACAGTGAAATTGTCTCTTTAAAACCCAGAGAAATTAAAAGCAAAAGTCAAAAAGTGCTGTGAGTTAATGTGTGCCAATAGAAATGGTTCAGAGACAATACACTGCAGATTTGGTTTAACTTTTACATTAATCACATCTATTTCCATTTTATGTTTTTACTCACCTTAGGTGAGATCTAAGGCTTTATTCAATCAGATAATTGATTCTTAAAATATTATGGCTTGGACCCAAGTGGTGTCATGGTACAGTTTCAGTCCAAAGATTATTTAAAAAAAAGTGTTTTTTCACATTTAAAAGCTACATTTCGGGCTCAATATCACATTTTTATATTAGAGCACAGACTGGATCATTGCGTATTGGTATGCTGCACACTCATTGAGCTACATCAGTTATGGCAACACATTTTCCAGAGTGGCTTTAACACATTAATAATGTTATTGACCAGCAGGTAAATGGTTTATTATCTTATTGGTATTGTTTGTAACATAATGTTGCCCTTCAACTCATTTTTGGGGATTCAGTTGAAAAACCCTGAATCAAATAATTGCAATGATTTAACCAATATGTGTGTGTAGGCTAAAATAACCCCTGTAGAAATGTCAATTTAGCAACAAACGAGTAGAAAAGTTAGAAGAAAAGCCAGAGTCAGAGAATTAAGGAGAATTGTCAGAATGCCTGCCACAAAGCTGGAGTTGTGAATCTTTGGGGAATAAAATGTGAGAGATGATTCACCCGATGTGATTCTGTGCAGAAAGAGAGGGAAAACAAATCAACAATGCAGTTTATTTTGCACAGAGAGACAATAACCCTGCATACCTCTTTTACCCTCTTTGTTCAGATTCCTCTCTCTATTAGCCAGATATGATTAAAATGCAGTTTCCTACAAGCGTCTCAACGGAACAATGAAAAAAGAAACACAAGGCAGCAGGATAAAAAAAGGCAAAAAAGTCAAAAGCATATTTTTGCAGCGTGACACGTTTCATCCTTTTCAGGCGGTAAGAAGAAAAGGATAAAGGATAAAGACATTCAAACTTTTTTCTACCCCTCACTGCCATTCTCCCGAGTAGCTGAAAACACCCCTCATACCGTAGAGGACAACTCTGCAGCATCACAAGCTGAATATCATCTCCTGCACTACATTTATATAACACTGATATAATTTCCACTCCTCTCTTTAGTCCAATTACATTGTGACAGTGTGACTGCTCACATTCTGAAAGATCAGCTTTGTGCCCTGACCAGGACTGAGAGGAGGGTGCTGTGGAGCTGTGTTTGCTGTCTAGAGGTAAGTCCGAAAGAAGTGTTTCAGCCATATTCGCACTGATCTAATGTGTGTATCTGATTTAACATTTCATGGTTCTGAATCTCATCACTTGAGGCTCTTACTTAATGGGACACAGATGACAGAGAGGACGTAAGCAATGACATAGACAGGCAGAGATAGTTAACAGACAGAAAATGTGAAGCCTGCAAGATGAGAACTGGATATGCGTGTGTGTGTGTGTGTGTGTTTGTGGTGATACTAGCCATATAAGTTATATGCTTGCCAGAGATCCAATTATTAGACGCACACATGCTAGACTGTGTGTGTACATTAGCCACACCTACAGGGAAAGTAGCAGTGGGTGGAACAGCCGTCTCAGCATCGCAGATGGGCCAGATTAGGAGATAAATTGGGGAAAGACGATGGTTTTGTTACATGGCAGATAGAAAACAGTTTTATATGCACAAATGTCCTTAGTTAGACCCTTAGGTAGTAAAAAAAACCTTTTGGGTTGCGTAATTTTGTAGAAAAGACAACAAACATTGACATATTACGATTAACTTTTAACACTAAAGTCATAGCTATTAGAACAATTTAAATTTAACATATAGATCTGTGACTTGAGTCACTTGAGTGACTTGAAATCTGTTTTTCCTTTTTTATGTTAACTCTAAATGTGCTCAGAATATCAGTACAAGTGCAATGCAATGCATCAACTTTCTAAGCAGACATGTACTTGTTCTCACATCCTTTGCATATACTTGTCTGGGGTGGAAATCTGTACTATAAAATGCTATGATTGATTGATTTCACAGCAATCCCACCAATCTCCCACTGATTTTCTTGGACCTGAAGTAAGAGTGAGTTGGATGTCTGTGCAGTTCTTTTCTGTGTAGTTAGTACTAAAAAACAGATTTTTAATAAAGAAACTCATAGCCAGAGTGAGACACATGTCAAAGGTCACTTTCACATCAGAAACAATAGTCTTGATGTACAGCTATAACTTACAAAGCATTCACAAAGCTGACACTGTAGAAATCACATGACTGTCATGTACAGTACAGTTCAATAAAAAACTTGAAGATGAAATGAGCCAAAACACTATATACACACACTTACAGTGCGGGCCCAGTCTTACATTTGTGTAAATGGGTTTATAAGTACAGCACATTTACCATCTAAGTAGGTCAAAAACCTGGCAAGAAATATCGTCATAAGACCTGACCTTCAGCTTAATTGAAATAATGCTGATTCATTTGAAACACCTGTGAGAATTGCATTTATAAAAAGCCATAGAAAAGTCAACGTGTAAAACCTGGTGAATAATATTCCCACTATATTTACCACTAACTGGGGGGAGGGAAACACAACATGACTAAAAAAGCCAAAATGAGAAAAATGTTACTACATGTACTAAATGTACTGTATGTGAGCATGGGTGTGCGACTGTGTGTGTGCGTGTGTGTGTGTGTGTACAGGAGATAGAGATAAACTTAGACAGAGAAAAAGAGAGGGAGTGCACCGAGCAGTAAGCCCGAGAGCAGGACATGATTGCAATGTGTATCTTATCGGTGTCAGGTCCTCCTGAGGCTAGTGGAGCCTAGCTGAGCGGAGCACGAGCGCTTCAGTGACCAGTCAACCGTGTGAGGGTAATCTCCTCACTCTTTCACTCACTCTTACACACATACACACACATGCTCTTAGACTCTCTTTTTCCAGTAAGCCCCCCTCTGGGAGGTATCTGAGTCACTAAGCAAGACACACACCAGCATATTCAAGCTCCAAAACAGTTGCATCCATGCAGAGCCTGAGGTGATTGCCTTATGCCAGCTCTGGACAGTAACCCCCCACAAGTGAGAGCAGACATCACAGGCTACATTGAATACCCAAGTCCCTGCAGCCAGTAGCCTGTAAATATGCGACTGAGTTGCATGATGTGATGCTACCTTGCAACCAACCACACAACGTAAAACGTAACCCTTGGCTATTCTGCAGGATATTGAAAAGGCATGAAGACACGGGGGAAGGCATTTTAAAACTAGAAGAAAAAAGGTTTTAAATAAGAAGAAAATTAAATTTTAAATGCATTTTTCTTTTGTTTTAAAACGTATCTGACTTGATCGTATATATTTTCCAATATAGAATTTATGTAGACAAATATTTGATATAAATAAATAAATAAATGCATTTACCAGACATCTAAATACTACTATTTCTTGATATTTGATACTTGCATTGCATACAGTATGTTGCTCATCTAGTGATGTAGTTGAATAAAAGTTCCTTTATTAAAATGTAATCTGAGACAGAGATTAGTAGACATGGAAATAAATTCATCAGATATCATATTACTCCCTATACTGGTGTATTTATAGTATGCAATACAATATTTCAGGATGTTATAATAATGCAATTATTTTTACAAACACTAAACTACGTTAAAATCACTTGAAAGGAAATTCTAAAGGAATGTTTTTTTTTTGTTTGTTTGTTTCATTTAAACTCATTCATAATAAAAAATAATGTTGTTACCCAAGCATGACATATACTTCGGGATATTCAAATACAACCTTATCCCTGATTGTGTATTTTCCTTGACTTAGTCTCATCCATTACCAGTATCTAATGTATCTAATGTGCTGCACCTGCAGCTTGCCTCCATGTTTAAAATTAGTTTGATGGAAAATTGAGGTTAAAAACTTGGGCATATTTTGTGTGTGAACTGTATGTGCAAGTGTGCATTTATACTGAAGGTCAGTGATCGCACACTAAAACAAAACTGTAGGAGGAGGGAAAAAAAAGTTCACGTCCAACATTCCTTCACCTGTCATGACTGCCTGCCTTCGAGGCTTCAACAACTGAACCATCCCAAACAATTAGTTCAGATGCTGGGCTTTCATTCAGATTAAGTGACTAATATCAGTGCTCGCTCACAAAAAGAGACTTTTTGCATCTGCCCAACAATCTGTTAAGTCAAAACACATGTGGTGAGCCAAGGCAAAAAGCCTGCAAGGGGTCCTCTCTGCAATGAAAAACAGGTGCTCTACTTTTTGGCCATGTAATACCCCATTTAGCCTCTGGACTAAAGGCTATCCAGCTAATAGCTGCCTTGTGGTGCGCTGGGAGGTGCTGTGCACATGCTCAGAGTAAACATCTGGGATGGATTGTACATACTTGCAACATATGCTTCAAGTTCAATTAAACTGAGGCCTTGGCTCATTTATTAATCTTTTTAAACCTCCCCTTTCTCCTCTTCCCCTTTGACTCTTTTTTATTCTCCCTTCTCTTTCTTTAACATCTGTATACAAAAGTGGCTTCTTATGACCTCGGCCTGTAATTCTGTACAATGTTAAAATAATGCTGGTTCACTGTAAAGGGCCATATTTGTAAAGACAAATTTGTTAAGGCATGTTCTGCAATACCAGGTTAGAGGGAGAACCCGATGGAAAATAGAGTTTATGTTATAAAGAAAGGGAAAAAACGAAGCAAAGAGAACAGCTATGGAACAGATAGAAGGAGAGTGGGAGGAGAGAGATGTAGGTGAAGGGAAAAAAGGGAAAATGCCC